ATGTCTGTGAATCGATCGATAAAGATAACGTAGGCCTATTCGCCATATTGATGTAAGTGCAGCATTTGACACCGTTCACCACCAAACGTTGCTGAAACGGCTAACAGTATCATACGGTATTACAGATGTCGCGTTAAAATGGTTTGAGTCATATCTATTTGAACGAACTCAGATCGTTACTCTGGGGCCAGAAACAGCTACAACGAAACTGGATCGTGGTGTGCCCCAGGGATTTGTTCTTGGACCCCTGCTCTACATTTTATATACAGCTGACGTTGTGAAAGTTGTTGAATCATTTGGAATTGGCTGTCATTTATATGCAGATGATGTGCAGTTGTATGGTTTCACACCGCGTGAATCTATGGGTAATCTGTTGGATACCGTTTTAAAAGCAATAAAAGCGGTAGAACAGTGGATGTCAGCAAATAAGTTAAGACTAAATTTATGTGGATTGGCAGTAAGCATAATTTGCTGAATGAAAATGATTTTAAAGATCCAGTTGTTGATCTTGGTGTCGTTCTCGACCCAGGTCTTTCCATGGGGAGTCATGAGAAATGCCTCTGCCAGCGATCTCACCATCAGCTTCATAGGATAAGGACAATCAGACAATATCTTACAGAAGAGTCAACAAAAACTCTAGTGTGCAGTCTTGTCTGCACGAGAATTGATTACTGTAATTCTGTTTTGTATGGTGTCAACAAATATCAACTGGCATCCTTGCAATCGGTTTTGAGGTCTGCAGCTAGGGTGATTGCTCGGGTCTCTAAATTTGACAACATTTCTGATTACATGAAAAATAAACTTCATTGGCTGTCGGTCGAGGACAGAATACGATTTAAAATAGCTCTTATGGTAAAAAACTGTCTGGATGGAAGAGCACCGGCTTATTTAAAAGAAATGTTAAATTTGGTATCGGACGTTCCAGGTCGGAATCGACTGAGATCTGCAAAGCACGGAGATATTATTTGTCCTCCGTTCAAAGCATCTCATTTTGGCGCAAAAAAGTTTTCAGTTGCAGCAGCTAGGACCTGGAACTCATTACCGATTGATTTAAAAGTCAATTCTAACATCAATCGTGACGCCTTTAGAAGCGGCTTGAAACATCATTTTTTCAACAAAACGAAGCACAAGTAGCGCCTCTGAAGATAGCTCAATAGAGGCGCTCTACAAATCTACAATACAATACAATATTCAAAAATGTCACAATTATACCTGGCGAATCATGTGTCACCCAACATAGACTCCTTGTGGCAGACCTGGTTGTCGAACTGTCACAAAATAAGTTTAAACAAATGCCTCGGAGAATCAAAACGTGGAAGATGAAAAGCAATATTCATCAAAAAAAATTTCAACAGATTGTCGCCACACAGTTAGACCACCAATCGCAATCCAGTACAGATTGGAGTACATACAAAACTGTTTTGATAAACGCTGCAACTACAGTTTGTGGGAAAAGTGGTACAAAACGCCAGCATGAACGGGACACTTGGTGGTGAAATGACAGTGTACAAAATGCTAGGGCAGAAAAGAAATCAGCATACAAGCAATGACAAAAATCAAAGTCTGTTGATGACCATAAAATTTTCCGTGAGAAGAACAACTATGCAAGACGTCAAGTCGCACTGGCTCGGACAGATCAGAGCAGAGAGTGGCTCACTAAAAACAAAGGTGAACAAATGAAATCTCTGTATCCTATAGTAAAACAAGCAAAGCGTACGAAAAAAGACATAGTTGGTGCCTCATGTATCAAAAACGACAAAAATGAGATGGTTCTTGAACAAGATGAGATTAAGATACAGTGGAAAGAATACTTCAACCGTCTTTTAAACGAAACAAATCCCATCAATGTTAACTTTGACGTTCCATCCATCGAAGGTCCGATTCCAGACATCACTGTAAAGGAGCTTACAGAAGCTCTGAGAGCTATGAAGGATGGAAAAGCAGCAGGGCCCCCTGGATTCACAAATGACATAATCAAAGCATCTGGTACTGCATGTATCCAAACGTTACTACAATTTTGCCGAGAAATCTGGAGAAATTGCTCAATGCCGACTGAATGGAACTATAGCATGACAGTCCCGCTATACAAAGGCAAAGGTGATCCATTGAACTGTTCATCATATCATATACGTCTGTTAGAACACTCCCTGAAAATTGTCGAGAAAATCTTTGAGAGAAGATTAACGTCGTGCATCACAATCGAAAGTTATCAATTTGGTTTCCTAGCGGGGAAATCAACAATTGATGCAATTCACATCCTTCGGCAACTGCAAGAGAAGTACCTCGTAAAGCATTAACAACTATCACACATTTTTGTAGACCTTGAAAAAGCAATCGAGTTCCTCGTGAAGCAATCAGACGTCGACAACTCATTCCAGATTATCTTGTTCGACTTGTGATGGAAATGTATACGAATACTAAGACTCTTGTCAGCACAACGGTAGGAAACACATATGCTTTTGACATCGGCGTTGGAGTTAACCAAGGCTCAATTCTCAGTCCACTGTTATTTATAATTGTGATGGAAAAAATCACAAAACCGATACGCACTGGTGACATTTGAAATCTAATATATGCTGATGATATCGTTTTAACAGCCACGTCTGAGCAGAATGCAGCACAGATGTTTGAAGATTGGAACACCAGACTCGCCGATCATGGATTCAAAATCTACAAAAGCAAAACCAAAGCAATGAACACTGGTGAACCCATCCAATCCACAGCCGTGTTCAGTTTGTAAAGCTGGTGTAGGTAACAATTCAATCAAGTGTCATCAGTGTAACCAGTGGTGTCACAAACGTTGTTCAAAAATAATTGGTACTTTCTAAAGTGTACAATTTTATTTGTCCTGCTTGCATCAATTCACAACAACAAATTCGAAATAGCAATGTTTTTGAAGCCATTAAGGGTTAGGGTTAGGGTTTCAATTCGTTTCAATATCTAGGGGATGTTTTAGATTGTACTGGAACAGCTGAAGCTGCCGTTCGAGCACGCATACGTGCAGCCTGGAATAAATGCCATCTCCTTGCCTCTATATTGATGCGGCACGACATCCCACTACCACTACGATCAAGACTTTATAAATCTGTGATACGTCCGGTGATGTTATATGGTGCAGAAACATGGCCAATGACAGCCAAACTGCAACAACAACTTCACCGAACCGATATGAAAATGCTCCGATGGATGCAACGAATTAGTCTGAAGGACCACATCAAATCTACCGAAATCAAGCGTCGTGCTGGTTTAGATGATATAAAGAACGAATGCCAGCAACACCGTCTGCGGTGGTTTGGTCATGTGAAACGACGTGGAAACAGCTCCATAATTTCTCTTGCAGTGTTGAAGTACCTGGCAAACGTCCCAAAGGCCGTCCTAAAAAAAGTCCTGGTAGCAAACAATCGAGCAAGACATAAAAGCTCTAAATTTAAATGAAATGGATACAACTGATCGCCTAATTTGGAGCAAAAAATTGATGGCCAAGATATCATCCTACCTCTGGGAAGTTGGGTCTCTGGATGCTAAACGAAGATTGATTGACTGATTGTATGTGTTACTATATTACACTTGACGTAATAAATTTTTTATTTTTCATTGTCTTTAAAATTATCATTCTATAATAAAAATGTGGATGCCAGATTGGCTATCTTCATGCTTTATATTGTCTTAACAGACATCAAATTTTGCGCTTTGACTTTGTGTCCTGTGTCATCAAAATAGCGTCGACCATGTTGTACAGATTTTAGCCATCTCAACATCTAATTCGTTGTGCGAGTCTCACACTTTACTCCATCTAAACGTAATCGTCTGCTCATGGTTCGCATGATTCATAGCATCTCAAATCAAATTTGATGTGTGGGTTCCTCACGACTTAAATTTCAATTCTTACGCTTTACACAGTCTAAACATCATATTTGCATGCCTTATAGCACCTCAAAGTCGAATTGGACGCATGGGTTCCTCACGAATTATAATTTCATCCTATTTGCCCTGTGAGTGATTTGCATGACTTATAGAATCTCAACATCGAATTTGTCATTGGTTCCCCTTAACTTATAACGTCCAATTCTCTGTGTGGGCTTCTCACGCCTTATAGCATATCAACGTCTAATTTGCCGTGTGATTTGCACGTCTTATAGCTCCATAACAACTAAGTTGCGGTGCGGTCTCTCACGCTTTATAGCACTAAAACTTTTAATTTCTGTGCAGGTTTCTCATGCTTTGTAGCATCTCAACGGCGTGTTTGCTGTGCGATTCACATGGCTTATAGCTCTGACCATGAAGAATATGACACCAACTACGTAACAAACTTTACTTAGTCTAAAAAACCTATATAAACCAAAGCTGCTCTGAAAATGATTTCTGAAAAATCGAGAGGCCCATCTGCATGATGAATCTGGATAACAACATTTTAGTTTTATAATAAATTTGCATGGTGAATTTGGATAATACTATTTTTAATAAATAAATTGAACAATTGAAAAGACAAACTTTAAATTGATTAATGCCAACAATTAGGTAGAATTTATACAATATTGTATAATATATGACCTATTTCCAAAATATATATATATATATATATATATATATATATTCAAAACTTTTTATAAATTTTTTCTATAGCTGAGCAGAGTAACTTTTCAAATCATTTGGTCAATATTGTTTCGGCCGTTTAAAGCTATCATCAGAAAATAAATTTACTGGAAATGTTATAAGGTATACATTAGTAAAGAAAAAATTAATTAAATTAAATATAAGTATTAATAATTAAGTAATTAGTTAGGTGAAAATGATCAAACATACGAATGAAATTATTTGGTTTACGTTGTGAAAGGTAGCGAAGTGATGAACATATGGTTAATAATTAAAAGTGAATTCAGTTATTTAATAATTTCAGATATTTGGATATAATTAACGATGAAAAACGGATGTGATTAATGTGGTGAAAATAAAAATTATAAAGTAATAGACCAGAATATACATACAAATATATACACAACATGACTATTCGAGCATACAGAGTTATGAAATATAATTATGAAGTTTTGAAAATATCGGTCGGCTAGTTAGTTCAGTCTGTAGAAGTGCCATATCTCATGCAGTTACGCGATGGCCTAGTTCGATCGAATACTGTCGGTCGAAACTCAAAGACTATTATACGCCATGCGCGTATGATGCGCATGCATAAATAATATGTATGACATGTGGTGTATAGTACAGTCTTTGTGGCACAAAGGTTTAAATACAGGGATGATATGTAAGCCTAAGCGGTTCTGTGTATATCAGAGCAGCATAATAATAAAAAAATCGAATAGGAACATTGGCGGATAGTAACAAATTTGTAAAGTTGCTATTGATGGAGGTCTTGCAAATGTCTTTGCCTTGTTGTTGGACGGTGAAAAGAGGGATAGTCTGCGTTGATTAATGGTTTTGGTTTTCCGACGGAACGATGTTGCTAAAGTGAACCCCTCAGCAAGCTCGCTTCAAAACCAAAACCACACATCAACGCAAAATATCCCTCCTAGCATCGTCCAACAACAAGACAAAGAAAGAGAAACTAATTTCAAAAATATATAATGATATTGTTAAAACTGTCCCGGTCGACGACGAGTTCGTTTCATTCCAGTGAAAAATAGTGACACGAAATAACTCTTAAACTATCGTTTTATTTATAAATCGATAAAACTATCGTTTTATTTATAAATCGATAACCAATTACTCGATTTTAGTTAAGGTGATCTGCACAAGCTCGCTTATTTGATCTCCTGGTTTTTGCTAAATAAAAGGATTATATATATATATATATATATATATATATATATATATATATTATGGTCTATTACCAACATATATATATATGTTGGTAATAGACCATAATTTTTACAATACTCTATAAATTCTACCGAATGTTTGGCGTTAATATGTTTGTAGTACGTTTTTTCGATTTTTTTCACAAAAGTTTTTTGGTAAACGTTTAGTTTATTAAAATTCAAAATAAACTTATTTTACGAATTCATGCTGCAAATAAGGCCATATTTCGATTCCGAGTGAATCATCATCAGTGCTCCTTGCTGTATATATAGGGAAATATTGACTTTGTCAAGATGAACTTTGACGTTGTAAAAATTAACTTTGGTGTTGTAAAATTGAACTTTGATGCGAATTAGGTGTCAGGTTTCTTTATTGGCTGGTCATCTTCTTTGGTCTCGTTTTCTTCATCGATAGCATCATATTCTTCTTTGCCACTATTTACAATGCTAGTTTTTATTACTTCTTTGTTTTCGTTGTTGGTTAAGCGCCGGGTTGTATATTTATTTTTGGTTTATTGATGTCAATTAGGACTGCTTCTGCTATTTTAAGATGCGTGTAGTTGCTGTTCTGGTATATTACTTTGGTGTTGCTGTCGAGGATTTCACGGCTAATTGTCATTGAGTGTGTTGAGTCCAAATGAGATTTGATAGCACCACTCTGTTTATGCATCGTAAGCCTTCTAGTCAGTGAGGTAGAGAAATCCCGATATATGAGTCATGTTGACGTGCACAGCCGTCAAAGGGGCAATTAAATTTATATATTACGTGATTACGCTTTAACTCAGAGTTATCTCTAGGACTGCAGTTGTTTTTCAGTATTAGATGAGACGTCTTTGTATTGTTGTAATAAATTCGGAGTTTAACTTTACTATTTGGGTTGGTTGGTGTGTCAGTCATCACGTCGCAATTCATTGTGCCTGTTGACAACGGCCTTAGTAGAAAGAGAGGGTGTGGCTAGTTCTCACAAAACTCTTCCCACCTTAAACTAATTCAATTGTGCAGGTTGTCTTCGGTGGATGCTGTGAGCGTAAAAGCCCTGCGGCAACTAGAGAATGACGACGGGCACGGTCTTCAAACAGTCAAACAAGCTAAAGACTACATGGATGCACCCACGATCGGGACATTGGCACCTGATCGATTACGTCATCACAAGGCAAAGGGACCTACGCAACGTTTGCCTCACAAGAGCGATTCGAGCGACAACTGTATGGTCAGATCATCGTCTTGTCAAAATGTCCATGTTTTTGACGGTCAAGCCAGTCAAGAGGCATCATAGGGTGGTAAAATCCGACAGGTTGGATGTGGCTAAACTGGAAGACAGGTCAACTCAGGAGTCTTTCAGCCGCACATTATGCATCGAAATGGCTAAGAATACTGACCTTGATTGGCCGCATTTTCAAACGGTCTTACAAAAGGTTGCAGGAAATGTGCTCGGTCACCGCCGGGGTGGGCATAGAGACTGGTTCGATCAACGAGATACGGAAGCTCGTAGATTGCTGGATGTGGTGCACAAAACACATCTGGCTTAGATAAACGACAAAGCAATGATGCAAAGAAGGGAGCCTACTCAAATGCACAAAGTATCTCGCAGAGGGAGCTGCGCAGAATGAAGGAGTCCTGGTGGTCGGCAAAGGCTGATGAATTACAGGTAGCTGCTAACCACCGTGGTTATCTGAAGCTATTTCATAAAGGCTTTAAGATGGTATATGGTCCACGTGACTTAGGAGGTATACCAGTGCGTTCACGTGATGGTACGTCGTTGATTAAAGATGGGCTTGGCATCTTGGCCCGCTGGGCAGAACACTTCTGCGGGGTGCTAAATCAAAAGACTCGGTCCTGTCTGAGCTGCCGGATTGGGAGCCTAATCATAATCTTGAAGTTCCCCCTAGTTTGCAGGAAGTGGATAAAGCAATATCTCGGTTGTCATCTGGTAAGGCGCCGGGTTTGGATGGGTTGCCTGCAGAGCTGTTTAAACACGGTGGTCTGCATCTCAGGAAGAAATTGGTGGAGCTTTTTGAACGCATGTGGGCAGAGTGGTCGGTCTCACAGGAATTCAAAGATGCTCTGATCGTTCACATGTTTAAAAAAAAGGTGATCGATCAAACTGCGACGACTACAGAAGAATCTCTCTGCTCTCCATATCTGGGAAGATACTAGCCAGAGTGATTGTTGAACGCCTGGCAAAACATGTCAACAATCTAGATATCTTTTCGGAGGGTCAGTGTGGATTTAGAGCTGGACGCAGCACAACCGATATGGTATTCACTGCAAGGCAACTGCAAGAAAAATGTCGCGAGCAGTAACAGGGATTGTATATGGTTTTTGTTTTGCCTGACCAAGGCATTTGATTCGGTTGATAGGTCAGCACTCTGGCGCTGCTCGTCAAAAATTGGTTGCCCCTCTGTTTTTGTTGCCGTTGTTCGTTCCTTTCATGAAGGTATGAAAGCGAGTGTAGTGAACTGTCACAGAATTTTGATGTTACAAACAAAACCAAGCAAGGATGCGTTATGGTTCCATTGCTGTTCAACATCTACTTCTCATTGATGATCCGAGTTGCTTTTTGTCACGGTACTGAGGGGATACCAATCTGCTATCGTATGGATGGGGATATTTTTAATATTAGACGATTGAAAGTCAAGTCCAAGACACAGATCTCTGTTGTTCGGGACCTATTATTTGCTGATGATTGTGCACTGGTTGCACACACACAAGCCGAGATTCAGACGCTGTTCAACCACATCTATACAACAGTTAAAAAATTTGAACTTACAGTCAGTCTGAAGAAAACTGAGGTCTTGCATCAGAGCTACGCAGTTTCGTTAGGGGCAATGGTCCATGTGATGGCGGACGATTCGCGTCTCAATTATGTTGATAGATTTTTTTTTATCTAGGCGGATATATTTCCAATAATGCAACTATCGATGATGATATTACAGCAAGGCTTGCAAAAGTAGGTGCTGCTTTTGGTATGCTGACCGGACGTCTTTGGAATGAGCACAGAATTACTCTGGCCACCAAAATTGCAGTATACAGAGCAGTTGTGCTCTATTCACTGCTTTATGGTTGCAAAACCTGGACGTTCTACCGTCGCCACATTCGTAGGCTCGACCAGTTTAGAGATGCCTGCGCATGATTGCAGGTATCCGGTGGGAAGACAAGGTCCCAAACACAGCGGTTATGGCAAAGTGCGGTATAATGGGTGTGGAATCGCTGCTGTTTCAAGTTCAGTTTCGCTGGATAAGGCACGTTATGCGTATGCCAGATACAAGAATCCTCAAGCAAGTCTTTTTGGTCAGCTAGCGTCGGAAAATAGATTGGCAGGTGGCCCTGTACGCAGATACAAAGACAGCCTTAAAGAAAATATGAAAAAATGTGATCTAGACCCAAAGGCTCTTTGTGTTGATGCTCTGCGACGTTCGGAATGGAAAAAGTTTACCCAATCGGCGGTTTCAGCTTTTGAACTGGCACGCACAGCTGCTCTCGCTAAAAAAAGGACTCGACGAAAGCAGACGGCCCAAAGCGGCGATAGTACAGGTGTATGGATTTGTGGAACTTTTGCACGGAAATATTCATCAAGGATTGGGTCATCACCGATGACCCAATTTGTCGATTCGACAATGTACTCCATAGTATACCCATGAATCCCATGAATAAAAGCTGATGTTCACAAACTATCAAATTAACGTTCAGAGACTACCGCTTTCCAAATAACAATATCGCAAATACAATAAATATAAAAATACAACGCAGAGTCAAATATCGCTTTCGACACTTACAATCTATCGGTTTCTAATATTAAATATTTAACAACCATATGTAATATCTCGCCCATCTTTATATACCCGTCTTACCGACGCTTCTCGGACGTCCTAGATATCCCGCTGTCAGAAGGTACTAGTTCCTTCTCGAACTGTATGCGTTTGTAGCGACACTAGAGCCTCTAGCGAATAAATTTGTGACGGTTATCACAATATTTAGTATAAATTGTCGGATGGTTAAAGTCGGGTTAGAGAACGTCATCAAACAAACGTTTTGTTTTCAAATATGTACATGAAAATACTGAATACATTTTTTGCTGTCTAATCTAGATATGATTCGAACAAGACTAGATGAAAATATCAAAAATCAAACAAAAATCTGTAATGTGTGTCAGTGTATGTTGTGTAGGGAAAAATTAAAATAGAATCCACGTTCGTGTTCGTCGTTCAGGCTAGTAAACCAAAGCCCGTGCCCAGTACAAGGCAAGTCCGAGCTTTAACCGGATTCATATAAAATAAAAATAAATATACTTACTACTAATAAAAAATATTAATAATAAATTAAAATATAAATAAACGAAGAATAATAATAAATTAAATTAAAAATGAAAGAAACAGAAGACGCGACCACCGAAAATAAACAAAATCAACATTAAGTTACAGGCCCATCAAAAAAATCTGACTCCGAGTAGAAATTTCCGATTCCGGGTCCCAAATTTCGAAAAGAATTTCCAACTTTAGCATCATAATTTCACTACTAACTAAAAACACTTAAAATGTAATTGTTTTTCTAATTGAAATTACTAGATTTTTATGTAATACAATATGCTGAAAAAAATTATTATTTTTTAAATCCAAATTTTATTCGACAAAATATTCAGATCATAAAAATAAGAATTATTTGTGCAGGCCACCCCTACCTAAATAATGTCCTGGGATCACTTAACTAAAGGGAGAAAAAATATTAATACAGTCACACAAAACAAAAATTATCGAAACCGAGCCATGCTAATATAATAACGTTTAAAATAAGATTTCATGATTGAGTTATTAAGCATAAAATAAAAATTTTAATTCAAGTAATGACAGGTGATAATGATTATCATGCGACTAATCATTATCACAGCCAACTAAGATCACTAGCGCAGAGTCTGAGGGCAGCGTGCTCTGATCATTCCTATTCATCATCTACGTCAATAGTATTGCAGATGTTTGTGAAAACATTCTACTATTTGCAGATGAAAAACAAACATCAAACAGAATATCCAGCCATTTTTCACTATTCGGATAATTGGCCGGATAGTAAAATATACAGTGCCTATATTTATTTAAACATGCATAAAGTAATATTCTTTATGCATGTTATCTGAAGAGAGGTTTTCCTAGGGCTATTAAAGTCTGAAGCGAAAATATTTGCGCTGACCCTTCAATACTCACACACACACACACACACACACACACACACACACACACACACATACACGCGCGCGCACGCACACACACGCACACACACACGCACACACACAAACCTATATTATATATATATATATATATATATATATATATATATATATTTTGGTACGAGGTTCTCAGTGATACAAACTTCATTAAATATTATTTTTGCCCATTTTGCGTTGATTAGTTTTTTACCAATAGATTTAACATTTCGTATTTGGGTTAAATCATATTTATTAAACAGTTGTGTCATAGTGCGGCTTACAACGTTGTTTCATATAAGGTATTTAAAATAAATTAATGATTCAAATTGTTTTAGATAATGTAGAATTACGAAATAATAAATTGCGGCTACATGTTAAAATAATTGGTAGAAGGTAAATAAAACGAAGTATGTATTACACTAAATGATAGATAAAATTATAACAATGCAAGTGTAGTGGAAATGGTATTATAGTAGCTCGATGTGATGTTGTGTAAGAAGAATGAATGAGTTTGTATGAAGCGATATAAAGTGTTATATGTTGGTATATTGAGAGAATATTGTCAATATGTATTATAGTAGTTCGATGTGATGTTGTGTACAAAGAATGAGTTTGTATGAAGCAATATAAAGTGTTATATATTGGTATATTGAGAGAATATTGTCAATATGTGTTAATAGATTGTATGCTATATAAAACGTGTGCTATATGTGTGTAGTAAGTAAGTACAAACATATATATTAGGGTGGTCCCCAAAATGAAAAAGTTTTAAATTTTTTGTCTTACCCCCTAATTTTGTTACCACCCATTAGGTAATACTTGGTGTAAAATCTTAGGTCAATTGGTCAATATTTAGAGGTCGCCCAAGGGCTCTGAAGTTTTACCTTATGGGCCTAATAATTAATACAAATTGCTAATACAACGTCTTTGTTTTTTATTAACAGATCTTTGTCTGAAAAAGTAAACAACATGGTAGAGTCAACAAGAAAGAAGCAGGATATTTATCTTCTAGGCCAGCCTCTAAAAACTGCCATTCTGGGTAACAAGTTACCAGCGAAAGGTGAAATGATGCGTCGCTTTCTGTACATTCATTTGTCAGAGAAAATGACAGTTCGCGATAGTGAGACTGATGTTATAAGAGAGGTACTTCCAATATGGCAACGGGCCAGAATTCCTACAACTTAAGAATTTGGATGATATGTTTAAACTGTGGCAAGGATTGAAGAAACATTCTAAGAGAAACTCAGATGCTCAAAGACGTCAAGAACAAGCATTCGTTCATTCACGAAAAGATCTGTTTGATATAGCACATGCTAATGCTATTGAACTGATTCAGATACAAGAAGACAGAAAATTTTTGCTGGCACAAAGGGAACCGGGACGGCGTGGTTATATGAGTGGTGTAGATAAAAATCTGGCGCTGAAAGAGACACGCTTGTATGAAAGGAAAAGAAGACAGGAGAACTACAAATTAAAGTCAGTCCAGGCGCAGTTCAGCTGAAAAGTCAGTTCAGCTGAAATAGAGCACAGTTCCAGTGATTCATCGTCGTCAGAATGTGAATCAGAAGAAGACAGCATTGCCAAACGTGTGCAGGTAAAACGAAGTAGGAAAAGCTTCTCGATGTCCCATCCACATTGTGCAGTTAGCAGGGAAACTGCTGCAGCACTTGATCGAACGAAGACTTCTGATAGAAAGGCGACGTACATCATCAGTGGAGTTGCCAAACACCTTGGCTTAAATGCTGGAAACCTTGCCATCAATAGATCCTCAATTCGACGAGCAAGGCATAAGCATCGTCAAGAACTTGCGTTGGAAATTCGAAGGAATTTTTCTCCAGACGTTCCTTTGGCTGTCCATTGGGATGGGAAGCTCTTACTTGATTTGACCGGTAATCAGAAAGTTGATCGTCTTCCCATTGTTGTTGCAGAAAGGGAATTGAAAAGCTCTTATCAGTTCCAAAACTAGAATCTGGTACAGGGAAGAGACAGGCTACAGAAGTGCACGAATGCCTCTTAGAATAGAACCTAGAGGAGTCTGTTAAGGCATTATTGTTCGATACTACAGCGAGTAATACTGGAAAGAAAAATGGAGCATGCACCCTGCTGCAACAAAAATTAGGGCGTAACGTGCTTCACATAGCTTGCCGTCACCACATATCTGAAATAATACTTGAGCATGCGTTTTCTGCATGCATGTCGTCTAATACGTCAGGTCCAAAAATAGCACTCTTCTTGCGCTTTCGAAATGAGTTCAACAGCATTGACCAAGCTGATTATCATACAATTATGGATGATGAAAGCATGAACTGCAAAGTTGAACAACACAAAGAAGGTATCGTTAGCTCTTGCCTAACGCAACTTGAACAATTTCAGCCAAGGTGCGATTACAGGGAACTACTGGAGCTTTCACTTATTTTGCTGGGAGAGACACCGCCAAGGGGAGTCAGAGTTCTGCAACCTGGAGCTCTGCATAGGGCACGCTGGATGGCGAGACTAATATACGCCCTCAAATTGTACATGTATCGTCATCAGTTTCTGCTGACAAGAGTTGAAAAAAAGGGAATCTGTCGCTTCATCGTTTTTGGCATCTGTTGGTATCTTAGATCGTGGTTCACGGTTCCAGATCTTCTTAGTGCCGCTAGACATGATCTCCAGCTGGTAAAAAGAATCCAACAATTCAGAGATGTAGACCGTGAAGTTTCTGTTGCCGCTGCAAACGCACTTTCTAGACATCTATGGTATGTTAGCGAGGAATTTGTTGGAGCTGCGTTTTTCGATGATCAGATTTCTCATGAGGAGAAAGTGTTGATGGTTGATGCTCTGTCAGTGAAATCAAAAACAACCAACGACTTCACCAAAAGAGTGCTGATGAATATTAATGATATATCTGATGAAATGTCTGCCAAAGATTTTGTGTCTTCGAACACCATGCAATTCTTTGCAATCCTCGGACTGCCTCACTCATTTCTAAACAAGAGACCCTCCGAGTGGAGAGAAGATGAACAGTACAAGAAAGCTTTTGAAGTTGTAAGCGGTATAAAGCCAGTCAATGATTTTGCAAAGAGAGGAGTTGCTTTGATGCAGGATTTTAACAGAGCAATAGTATCGTCTGAAGAACAAAAGCAGTATCTTCTGCAAGTTGTTGAGTACCATCGTACCCAGTATCCAAACCCAAAGAAAGAGACATTAGTGGGAGGAAATACATCTCCTTAACAACTAAATGGTTTAACAGTGACACTGGGTACTGGACATAATAATTTTATCAGGTAGTTTGTAACAGTTTTGTCATGTTTTGCAACAAAATGCTAATACGTATAATTAGGTGGTAGCACAGGACACTTTGACTCGCTTGGGCGACCTCTAAATTTTGTCTATGGTCAATAAAATTTTATCATATTACTTGTTATATATGAGAGAAACAAATAAAAGGGTAAGACCTAAAAAATTACGCGTTTTATTTTTTCCAATGTAATTGAGGACCACCCTAATATATATATATATATATATTATATTATATATATATATATATATATATATACACACATTTATATATGAATGATGATATGAATCAATCTTGAATGATGCTATGAATTAGAAATTACAAATACAAATTCACATATTGTGTTCAAGTTCCTACATTATCAATTACCAACATCTTTTAATGACTTCTTCGAATTTGGAAATGCTGTGCAGTCAAAGTTCACTCGACATTCTTCTCTGCTCTATACACCACCTGCAAGAATAACACTGCTAGGTGAAAGTTTAAAACATACCAGTCCCGGAATCTGGGAGAAACTTCCTGTTGATATAAAGACTACAAATTCCTTGCATTTGTATAAAAACAAAATAAAGAAATATTTATTGAAAAAAAGTTCAATTTTTATTTAATTAGAATCATGTAAATTGTGCATTATGTTAATTTTGTCATGAATTATAAATTTACTTAAAAAATCGTGTTAGAATGGACAATTTTTGAACGGTGGCCTGCGACACAAGAATTTTGTTTTCTTTTAGCTTTGGTCTCCTAATCATTACCTAATTATTATTAATTTGGATTGATTGAATAAAATTTGATTTGATTTGATATCATGTATCAAACAAGGAATCAAGCGGTGGTACGATATACGTTCTAGGGCGTCGGGCCAACAACTCTGTGTTCACGGATAAATATTTATTCAGAGTAGAATGATATTCGTGTCGTTGAGGCATGCGTTGATTCTGCGGTGTCTGATTACGATACTGTGAAAATAGTTGTAATAGGTGGTCAAATTTGTTCTGTTGTTTGTTGAGTGAAGGTTTATATTTATTAATATAAAGCGCTTCTTTAATCTTAAGGCGAACTGGATGTGGTTCATAATCGAGAATACTTGTGTTTTTATCAAGTATAGTACGATTGAGTCGAAGGTGATGAGCTAATTCAAAATGAACCTCGATAGCACCATCCTGAACATGCATGGTAAGTCGTCTAGAGAGAGTGGTTCGTGTATGGCCGATATAACTCTCCACAACACAGTGTGGCATAGGACAACGGAATCGGTATACATGTTCTGATAGTTGCTGCCTGATTGGAGTACAGTGCTTGTATCAATTGTTCAATGTGCTCTGGTACGCCCATTTGTTTCAAACACGTCCAGAGTTTGTCATGGTCCACACAGTCGAACGCTTTGGTATAGTCAATGAAACACATATAGACGTCCTTCTGGTATTCTCTAGCTTTCTCCATGATCCAGCGTAGGTTCGCAATTTGATCCCTCGTGCCTCGTCCCTTGCGAAAGCCAGTCTGAACATCTGGTAGTTCCCGTTCCATGATTGCCACAATGTGGTTTTGTATAAGTTTTAGCAAGATTTTGCTAGCATGGGAGATGAGCGCGATAGTTCGATAGTTGAAACATTCCTGTAGATCGCTTTTTTTAGGAAGCGTGACGAAAACTGATCTTGTCCAGTCGTTGGACCATGATTTTGTGCTCCAGATTTTCTGACACAATTTGGTTAGGATTTTGACTGGTATTGGCTTGAATAGTTCTGCTGGTAAATTATCCGTGCTTGGGGTCTTCCTGTTTGGTAGTTGTTTTAGAGCCCAACTGACTTTTTCTTCTAGGATGTCCGGTTCCAAATCAATCTGTTTGGGTTGAACAACCAGTTGGATTGATGGATTGCCAGCGTATAGCTCCTCTGCATAGTCCCGCCATCGTCGCTTGATTTGCCCTTCGTCTTGCAACATTGTACCATCACTGTCCTTAACGGTAGACACTGCATGTCGTGAATGATTTTCTGACCTGCTTGACATAGGTAAAAAGAGTACGGGTATGACCGTGTCGGCTCGCCTTTTTTAGTTTCTCGGATTGGTTGTTACAGTATGCTTCTTTGTCCTGTCTGGCCCTTTTTTGGAACGCCGCATTGAGTAGTCGGAATTCCTCGATGTTCCCCTTTGCCTTGGTCATGCGACGATGCTCGGCAATCTTGATTGCTTCGTCCGTCAGCCACTTCGATCTTTTCATTGATTTCTTGAACGAGATGATTTCTTCTGCTGTTTTTCCCACGATCGATTTGATTTCCTCTCACATTTTATCAGGCTCTTCATTGAAATTGCTGAATGCTTCAAATCTGTTCTTTATTTCTACTGCGTATTGGGCGGGGATGTTGTCTGTGTCAAAGCGGCGTAATGCTTGAGGTCTCTTAATGGTGCTGAAACGAATTTTGATTTTAGCAACCAGTGGCTGATGATCGGAGCCGCAGTCAGCGCCTGGATACGTTTTTGTTGCTAATATTGAGCTTTTCCAGCAGCGCTGACATAGGATGTAGTCGATTTGGTTTCGATGTATACCGTTTGGTGCTGTCCAAGTGTACATCCTTCGTTTCGGCTGTTCAAACCAAGTGTTCATGATCGAGAAATGATTTTCTGTGCAACATTGGATCTGGCGGTCTCCTGCGTCATTTCGTTTACCAAGACCAAATTTGCCGACAACAGAAAAGTCTTCACCTGATCCGACTTTCGCATTAAAATCTCCCATTACAAAGATTATGTCACGAGCTGGGATCTAGTCGATTGTCTCTTGGAGTTTGGTATAGATATCTTCGATGTCTTTCTCTGGTGCATCTGCTGTTGGTGCATATGCTTGTAGAACCGTGATTGAGCGGAGGCTTCCAGTGATGGTTATGGATATAATTCGATCGCTAGCAATGTTAAAAGAGTATACGGCTTTGTTGACTGCTTTTGTTGCGATGAATGCCACTCCATTGCGTTTGATGGTGTCGTTTCCACAGTAGACGACGGTGTATTCATCGCTTTTAAAAAATCCATTACCCGTCCAGTAAAGCTCGCTGATGCCCAACAGATCGATATGAAGTCGTTGCATTTCTTGCTTGATGATTTCGAGTTTGCCTATGTTCATGCCGCGAACATTCCATGTGCCGATATTGTGAATAGTTGTTGTAAAACGTAGATGCTTCCTTTTGCTCGGAGCCACATCAGCAGGCGGGAGTCCTGATGGATTTGTCTCGTCCACGTCATAAATGCCTTCGCTACTTGAAAAACGTTCACGTTCATCCCTGGTAATATGATAGGTGTTTTTTCCAGCCCAGGAATCTCACTTTCCAGCACCATATCTGAACTTATTTTATTGTACTGATCCATAAGGTATTTCAGCAAAATAGTGAGGTAGTTTGCTATTTTTTTTCTCACCCCTCCCCATTTATCCGGGCTTGGGACCGACATGTAGTAGTTGCCAACAACAAGGCTGGGTTAATATATATTATATTATATATAACACTTTATATCGCTTCATACAAACTAATTCTTCGTACACAACATCACATCGTGCTACTATAATACCATTTCCACTACACTTGCAATGTTATAATTTTATCTATCATTTAGTGTAATACATACTTCGTTTTATTTACCTTCTACCAATTATTTTAACATGTAGCTGCAATTTATTACTCTGTAATTCAACATTATCTAAAACAATTTGATTAATTAATTTATTTATTTTAAATACCTTATGTGAAATATTTTAATTATGTACTATTTTAACAGTAAAGGTAATATATTGTTTACTTATCGTCATTTTATTTTATATATTTTAATTAACTTATCATATTTTATTTATTCTAATTTATTTTCTTATCTCACATATTCTTAATTAAATTTCAACGTAATTTATTCAATTTCAATTTCATATATTAATACATTTTATAATTATTCAACATACTCTAATGTATAAATATATTACTTAAGGCTCTGAAGATGGTGCTCACCACGCCGAAACAACGTTTTAAGCCGCACTATGACACAACTGCAGCAAAAAAAAAAAAAAAAAAAAAAAAAAACAATGGCTGGTCGGTTGTTGCTAGTGAATTTTTGTGCTTTTTGACAAATAATTGGAATAATTTCGATAACGAAACTTTTATTTTGAATGTATTGGATTTCTATTATGTCGACGAAGTTACTGCTGCAATTAAAATTTTGTAAAATGATTTGGAATTGTTAAAGAATTGCAATCAGAATCAGTGGATAAGTTTCAATTTCGCGGAATAAATAAAAAAGACAAAATTTTAGAATGTGTTGAATTGCTAAAAATTTTGAGGTTAGAAGGTTTTATTGATAAATGTTCAATATATTCAGCTGTTAATCTGTTGAGGATACCAAATATTACTAACTGGCTGAATTTTAGTTTTCAAAAGATCAAAAATGAAATCGAAGCCATGTTTAGTGTACAACAGACGGCCATAATAGAAGCGTTAGATACGAAACATACCGGCTTGCTGGACAACATACGCTCTATTGTCTCCAACCATAAAAGTAAACATTTGGCTTTTAATTTTAATAAAAATAATAATAATATTAAAAAATCCATGAATGAATCCAACGATGAATTAGACGTCGATGGCTTTCAACTTGTTCAGAAAGTCAAGAAAAAAAGAAAGTCAGATGATTCTCCTCCAGTTCTTCAAACAATAAACAACAAAATAGAATCTAAAAAATCTAACAAAGTATTTGACACTGGTACGAACTGTCTCTTGAAAGCATCTAAAGTTATAGAGAAAAAAATTGTTTATTATGTAGGTAATGTTGACTCGTGCAAAAAAGATATAATTGAAAACCATCTAAAAACAAATAACGTAATCTTCAACTAACGTTTCCCAGTCTTGCGAAAAAGAAACCTTTTAAACAATCCTCCAGATAATCATCCAGGCAACCCCGCGGTAGATCAAAATCCATTAGTCGAGTCTACGGCATTTAAAATAATTCTGCCAATCAGCCAGTTATCCAAATTCACCAATCCTGATATATGGCCACAATACACATTTTTGCGCGAATGGGATTTTTCACTGACGAGTCACAGAAGAACAGCAGAAGATAAAGTTGTCCAATCCAAAATCGAGAATCATGGTGGCGCCAAATAATTTTATATGCAAATCAATGCATAACGAAACGAAATACTACTCTGAAAATAATATATCAAATTTGTTATCACTATCTGATTGTAGTCTACCTTCATCAGCTTTATCAATCGTGCATGTAAATGCTCGTAGCTTATGCCATAAAATCACGTCCCTTCAAATGCTTATAGACGGATTTAATAACATTCCTAGTTTAATAGTTAACAGTGAAACCTGGCTGAATGAAGCTTCTGCAGCATTGATTAGATTAGAAGGTTTTAAATTTGTTTTTAAAAATAGAATGACTGGCTTAGGTGGGGGAGTTTGCATGTTTATAAGAACTGACTTAGATTTTTGTGTGTGTGGTGATAGAGTGTTTGATGATGTTGTTGACATGCTGTGCATTAATATAAAGTTTAAACAATGTAATAATAATTGTGAATATATCAAAGTGGTTGCCTTATATAGGCCACCTAATACAAAATTTGATCACTTTTTTGATAAATTAGAAATTACACTTAACGCTTTAAGGCAGAATCATCGAACGTATTTTGTTGGAGATTTCAATGTCGATATCCTAAACTTAGACTCGACACACGCAATGTCATTTCAGAATTTGTTGTTGTCATACGGCTTCGTTCCATTAATTTTTTCACCAACAAGAGTAACCCCAAATTCTAGTTCTTTAATAGATAATATTTTAACAAATTCCTCTGAAACGTATAATAGTGGCATAATTATATCTGATTTGTCCGACCATTATCCAATTTTCTCGATTTCACACTGCTCTAGTTTATCGACAGATAAATTTATCCCTCCATTCCAACGTTGTTTTACAATCAGCAACATTAACAAGATTAACGCCTATCTAGCTACTGTTAAC